TAGATCAAAAGTTATTAAGCTTGTTCGCTTATTCATTTATTTTTTTTGCACACTGTATATTGTGGACTTTGATTTGATTAAATATAGCATGCTCTAGAAACAAGCAAAAAGAAATAAAAAGGAAAAATTCAATAGACATTAAAAAAATCCTCCGACTTTTCTGTGTAAACTCAAATCACGAATATCCATTTTTTGTAATTAAACAAAACATAAGAAGAAACTCTGAATTGTGACTATATGTATTAAAAATAAACATAATATTAGAAGCTTGGTCATGTGAGAGACAGAATCAAATGAGACAAAAATAGTGAGAAATTTAGGAAACAGACAAAAAAAAAAAAAGAAAAAGAAAAAGAAAGCACGAACAAAAATTTTTTGAGCTAAACTAAATTTATTCTACCCTTTTTTGTGAACACCTTTTATTCCGTAAATAATTTTCCTATTCTTTTTATTTCTGTTTGTTTGTTGTAACACGCTTTTTTCCATGTTTGATTTCATGTCACACAAGGCCTGGTTTCTAATTTTTTGTTTAATTTTAGTTCACACATATGGTCAAAAGTACTATAAACTTTATTTTTTTCTTTATTTAAAAAAAAATTATTTTGATGATTTTTTATAGAGTTTACAGAAAAACGTAGAATGAATTTAGATTTCCTACTTACTGTTGTATACTATTTTTCACTCTTTTCCTCACATTTGATTTTGTGTCTCGCATATGATCCAATTTCATGTTAATTTTTATGCATATAATCAAAAGCTACAGTTTATTTTTTTTTCTTTGTTTGAAAAATTGACTTAGGGTGATTTACTAAACCAAGAAAACCAAAAAAGAAAAAAAAAAAGGAAATTAATTAGTTTAGCTCTAATACATTTATCCTTTTTTTCTTATTTGTTTGTTTGCACCCTCTATATGTCGCATTTAATTTTGTTTCTGACGCCTGACGAAACACAGTCATTAATTTTCTTGCAACACATAGTTTAAAACTATAGATTTTTTTTGCACGTTTTATTTGAATTAAGTTTAAAAAATAAATCAAGTGTAGCTTTTTTTTTCCGAGCATACAAAGATGAGAAGAATAACTTATAATAATAAAATATCGATATAAAAATAATTAAGGTGTTCAAAATCTCCTTACCGTTACTGATTATATTGAAAAGTAATTTCATAGGGATTTTTATTTCTAGTTAGTATTTTTTTCTTCTTTAAAAAATTAGTTAAAATTTTAATTTGATTTTAAGATTCAGGTAGTAGGAAGCATTGCTTTCTTAACTTTTAGTTGTGCTGCCATCTATTAGAAAAAAAGAAAGATTTTTTGTCACGAGAAATATTTTTCTTATCTTAATATCAATTGAAGTAGATAAAATATCATTACGAAATATGATTTTATATAAATGTTTTCATTTTTGCGTATTTTATCACCGCGAAAGTAAACTTAGACTTATGACTGAAAGGCAATTTTTATTTTATTTATAGTTGTAAATCCGTATTAATTTACTAAAAAAAAATATAATTATAATTTTATTTTTTCTAAATAAATATGTATTTTCTAAATAAATAAATATAATTTTTTATGTTATTAAATTTAGTTATATTCATGGATACAGTTTTTTTCCTTTCTTTTTCTGTTTCCGGATAGATGAAAGAAAAATTAATTGCATATAATATTTTTACTGTAGGCTTCTTTTTTTAAATATGAGATATTAAAGCATGAATAAAATATGTAAACAAAAAAAAAATATTAAAATGAATAAAACGGCTAAAGCTTTTCATAAATAAAAAGCATAACCTTACTTCAGTGTCTGCATTTAATTAATAATATTTATCTTATGCACCACATTATAAGATTTTCGCAATAAAACTGCCTTTTTCTTTTATACTATATTTAGACTGCAATAGATTTAGTATTAAATTCCCGCTATGCTCAGTGCATCAAATAGTAGGAAGTCAGTGTACCTACCATAGTTGTAATACGTTCTGGTTGCCCATTACTAAAAATTATGTTTTCTTATAAACACCATAATCATGCACAGTGAAAAATGTCGGTTTAAATTACAATAAAAAGTACCGGAAACCAGGTTGACAGTACTTTTTTACTGCTAAAGCCATTTTTTACCGTAAAATTTTATGGAATGAAACATCTGATATATCGTAGTTTTTACAATAATATTTACAGCAAAATCACTAAATCACCCTAATTAGATACACATTTCTGTAAAAATTACGGTATAAAATTTCACGGTGAAATGGATTTTTTAGATGCTGCAATTATTCGTTGCACAATTATCATATGACAAAGAAGCAACACATTTGAAAAGGACAGATCTGATTCAGTAAAAACCAACAAAAAAAGTGGCAATGAATGTTTAATGATAATAATTCTAACCCATCAGAAGTATGTACATAATAGACCCATTAATAGTTATTACTTTAATATTTACCACACTTTAATGTTAAACTTAACGCCAATTAACATATATTTTTGAAGAAAATATCAGAACAACATGAAAGTAAATAAAAAAAATCAGTTTACATTAGTGTTTACAATTTAAAATAGTTGCGAAGAGCAAAATAAGCATTGGAATAATCTAAAACTAGCCTATTTGCCTAGCTAGTATGAAATTTAATCATCTTTTGCTAGGTGCCATCTTTGAGCCTAGTACAAAAATGTTTTTGATGTTAATAATCCCTTCCTCGCTCTGCATGATCTCAATAGCAATTTGTCGGAATTATCAAAGACTTCTATTTCAGATTGTTACTAATACTTTTTATTAAAAAGATCATTTAGACTATAAATTTAGGTTTGTAAATTTGAGAAGTTCTCTAGTAATCCTATGATGAGTTACTGGAAGTACCGTTTAGGTAAATTTATGACTCTACTTAAATGATCTCATTAGCAATTCGCCGGAATTATCAAAGATTTCTTTTTCAGATTGTTATTAATACTTTTTATTAAAAAGATCATTTAGACTATAGATTTAGGTTTGTAAAATTAAGTTCTCTAGTAATCCTATGATGAGTTACTCGAAGTACCGTATAGGTAAATTTATGACTCTACTTAAATGACTTTTGATTTACCCTTCTCTCTATATGAGGAATATTGAATAGCAAAATTTACAATAACAAATATAAACAAATAAATAAATTTATGACAAATTAATAACAAATAAATTTATGACTCTACTTAAATGGCTTTTGCAAAATTTACAATAACAAGAAGTGGTTCTGATCTTGGAGCAAATCTCAGGGAAGGTCAAAGGTCGACTTGAAATTGTGCTATCAGAAGCTCCCTGCTTGGCCAAGAGATCAGCATTCTCATTACCAAAGAGGCCAAAGAGCCACTGTCTTGGTCTGGAAAAGAAAGACCTCTACTCTGGTCCCTTACTTGTATTTGATTTCCTGAAGACTTTCGAGCTCATTGACTTGGTTAGCCTACGGCTGACCAAGAGGAATAAGTCAACAACAACAACAATAACAAAAAAGAATTTTTTTCGAGAAAAATTTTCTAAGCATTTCATTTTACTTATTATTTTCAGTTTTTTATAACTTATTTATTTATTTATATAAAATGCTTTTTTACTCTCTAGATTTAGGTCAATAACTTCAAAAGTTCTTTTGAAATCCGATGATGAGTCACAGAAAATACGAGAGATTAATTAATTTTTAAGTCCAATATTTGACTTCTGATTTAGCTTTCACTGGGTAAAAAATTATTACACATGATAACAAAGTAACTTTTTCCCTATGCAACTCTTATAGAATTCTTTTTTTTTTTTTTATAAAATTTCTTATAATTAATTTTTCTTACATTTAGGCTTTGGACTTCGGTAAGTTCATCGTAAAGTAAGGTAAGTTCAGAAACGCTCTTGAAATCCGAAAATGAGTTACAGGAAGTACCGTAATTTATGACTCAACATACTAATGACATCTAATTTTTACTTCTCTCTCTACGGGGTCAAAAATTATTAAATTATAGTTTAGCAAAAAACATGCTTTCAAAATCAGTTTTTCTAATATTTAAGTTATTATTTTATTATAATTTATTTTGGATAAAAGACTTATTTAGGTTCAAGATTGGGGTGTGTAAATTTAAGAAATTTGTTGTAAATTTATTGAAACCTTTTTGAGTGCTCCTCACACAAATGTATTGCTATATTTTGCTTTGGCTATATTGATACAATATTAGAAAGCACTTCTTTTTGCAGATATAATCGTGTGAGCTGATAAAAAAAGATTATCTTTTATTTTTCTGATTTTTATAATTTTTTTTCCATGTTTTCTTTACATTTTGAACTATATATATATAAAATGATAATTAAAAAAACAAGTAAGTTGTTTGTATGAAATAATCAATAAATAAGCGAGTTTTAGGATTATGCGCAAATTTTTTTTCATTTAAATTTTATTTTCTGAATTAACGAATTAAGGCTGTTAACATTATTTTAAGGACTAAGAGTTCAAATTCGGAAAATGTTGCTCGGAAATGTTTTATGTTGCTCTGAATGACCGAAATTTCCACTTAGGAGAATGTCGACGTTCTGCGTTGATGTTAGCATATTTATTAAGTTTCATTAGTTTCTCTTAAGTCAATAAATGTCGAAATTTAGAATATATTGATGGTGAATGTTGTATTTGAATATTTTTACTTTTGTGAATATTTTCATCGCTTCCGGCAACTGTCAACATTCAATATGGACTGAAGGAAGGCGTGTAAGGGGAAAATAATCTAAACGAACATTTTTAATTCAAAATACATTGCTGAATTTCGATGATTGCAGACATTCACCAAAATGACTGTGAGAATGTCAACATTCATAGAAAGAAATGGACATTCACTGAATTTTATGGCATACAAAATCGCCTGTTGTAATTTTAAAATTTAGAATTTAGGTGAATATATTACTCATGAAGAATCAAGATTGATAAAGCCTTGAAAGTAGACTGAATCATAAATCAGGAGTGATTTCGACTCAAGAAAGTAAAAGAAAACAATTTTACTTACGTGCAATTGTATAATCTAAAAATTTAAAAGTTGAGACTAGATATAGAGTCCTCCATAGAAGTATTATTCCATGTTTCCTGATAGAAGAAAAAAAAAGTTGTTAGGCAAATTTAAAATAGATTAACATTCTATCAAACGATGTACACTGAAAAAGAATCTGGGTCAAATTACAGTAACAAGTACCAGCTCTCAATGTGACAATTCTTTTTACAATGTGACAAGACTTAATGCAACAAAAAAAATCCGATGTAGCGTGATTTTATACAATAATATTTATAGTGAAATCACTTAAAATAAGAATAAAAGTATAAAACATTACCGTAAAAATGTATTCTACGGAAAAATACAGATGCTGTACACTGTGAAAAATTCTGGGTGAAATTACGGTATAAAGTACCGGCATTCTGGGTGAAACATCACTTCTATATTTTTTATCGTAAAATCTATTTTTACAGTAAAATATTACGTCGTAATTTTAACAGTAATATTTATTTAATTACAGGGATTCAGTTATTTCATGATAATTATTGCTGCAAAAATTAAGGAATATCACATTTTTTGTTCCGTAACATGTTCCGGTAAAAAGAGAATTTAGGGTAAAATTATTTACCGTTGTTTAAATCGGATTTTTTTACAGTGCAGTTAATATGCTAGTACATTTTATCGCATTTTAAACCGGAATTTGTTTTACAGTGTACTCAAGTTATCTTTTCAACTCTGTAGTGCAATAACCTGTTGCACAAATAAATGTTACTTGTAGAAAATGTGCATGTACCGAGTTAAGTTATTTGAAGTGTAAAATAAAATACTTTTTTTTCTTTCACCTAGAATTTACTTATTAGAATTGACATTTCTATACGTATTGCTATTGCGCAAGATGGTGGACGCACAAAGTAACAAACCTTACAAACATTTAAGTCGTTTTTGTGGTGTGGTTTACTTGAAGTTGACCTTAAGAACAACCTTCAAAAAGTCAACCTGAAGGTTTTATAATCAAGTATCATATTTTAAAGGTTGTTCTTAATTTATTAACTTCATATAGTGACTTCATATTTTCTCTTTAAATTACGCAACTCTACTCTATATTTTCTAATTGAACTGTTTATTTAGGGTCCGCCTGAGATACTTAACTGAATATTCCCAAAATTGTACATATATTTACAAATTCATTACAGTGAATAATTTCACCTTCTTTCAAACAAAACTAATGAGGTATAAATGCATGCAAAAGTGGTTTACTTTCAGAATCTAAATTGCGAAATAAAACACCTTTCATGGACAAAAAAACTTTAAGTATCAAAAAAACACCAGATTTTGATATCTGACAGGTTCACCAGAAGATGGATGTTTGACCAGTGTAAAAAAATTCAACAAAAGGGTGTTTCATCATGCATTTTAAAAGGTAGTTTTTAAAATTGTGAAAAAGAATGCAAAATTGTTTACTTACAAAATCTAAAAGGTGGAATAAAACACCTTTCATTGAAAAACAAAACTTAAAAGTATGAAAAAAAGCACCAGAGCTTGATATCTGACAGGTTCACCAGAACATACATGTTTGACCAGTGTAAAAAAATTCAACAAAAGGGTGTTTCATCATGCATTTTAAAAGGTAGTTTTTAAAATTGTGAAAATGAATGCAAAATTGTTTACTTACAAAATCTAAAAGGTGGAATAAAACACCTTTCATTGAAAAACAAAACTTAAAAGTATGAAAAAAAGCACCAGAGCTTGATATCTGACAGGTTCACCAGAAGATAGATGTTTGACCAGTGTAAAAAAATTCAAAAAAAGGGTGTTTCATCATGCATTTTAAAAGGTAGTTTTTAAAGTGTAAAAATGAATGCAAAATTGTTTACTTGCAAAATCTAAAAGGTGAAATAAAACACCTTTCATTGAAAAACAAAACTTAAAGTATGAAAAAAGCACCAGAGCTTGATATCTGACAGGTTCACCAAAAGATGCATGTCTGACAAGTGTAAAAAAGTACACATGGGGTTGAAAATGCGGTTATACTATGAACCAAAAATAATTTCATCAATGTACTTTAAAATTCATTTACACCGCAAAATCAGCCTCATATGTCTCTTAAAAGCACCTTACTTTTTGTTAAGGAAAACAGTATAGTTAAACACTTAGATAACTTAAAGCCATCCTTAGTAGAAAAAAAATCTATCATTGTTTCATTATCCTGAACATAAACAATTTATTAAAGAGTGTAAAAATAAACTTTATTTGCTGAGACATTTAAGTACTCTGAATACAAGCATCATAATTTAGCTACTTATTTTATTTCCTTAAATTATTTAACGTAAAAAGATACTTTTGAGTAAGCCAAGGAAAATAAATTAAAACATTTGTAAACGTAAAGCTTTAATACTAAAATAATTTTTAAAGTTTTAGTTTTTAACTAGAAGGATAATTTTAAAGCTAAGAAAAATCAACTTATTTTTTTCCTCATGTTATTCCTGATGCATGTTATTTTATATAACAAATAGAAGAAAAACGTATATAAATGGTAAAAATACAAATCATATTAAACTTACACAAACATACACTGAGAAAAAAATATTATCAGAACTAGTAGAACACTGTAAAATTTACAGTGTTACTGGTCCTAGGGGAGCACCAAAAAGCACGGTGATTTTTATCGAAGAGCTTTCATAATGGCTTCTGGCAAAATTGGCAATAAAATTTGGTTTTATTACCATGCTGTTTGATAGTAAATGAGGTAAAATTTGGTAATCTTTTCCCAATACCTCAGAGCATGGCATAAAAAACATTTATTAACATTAAACGGTAACACTAAACGGTAAAAATTAACATTTTAGTTTTGTATTTTTACTAAATGTGTAGTAATAAGAACTCTAATTTTGAAAACCAGTATTTCCAGTAAACAGTTACCATATGAAAGGAAAAATTACCAATTGAATGGTTTAGATACCATATATTTTGGTTCAACAACCAGAATCGTGGTTTTTTCCTAACAGAAGTGTTTTTTATCAAAGAAGGACGGAAATTTTAGTAATTCTATCAGAATTTTTTTCTCCGCGCGGAGTATGTTAATTACAAAACAGAGCGCCAGATTAACTTTTTATCTAATGAGGGGAATTAATCATGTTAAAAATCATCAATTCAAAGGGTCGAAATTTTACATGCTAACTATGCAGTTTTGGTTCCAAAGATTTGGGTTACGAAATCAATAATAAACTGTCTCTGAATAAATATACGAATCGGTAGTGGTAGCAATATAGGCTCAACGTTGAAAATATGGTCCCGATAGTTATTAAACTACAGGAAAGTGGTCACTAAAATATCTATTTTTATGCTGATTTGGCTATATATGTATTGTGCTTTATCTCTGGAACTATTTTATCGAATTGAAATATTTCAGCATGCATTTATAAAACTTATTTTTTCAACTAAAAATCCGCACTAAAAGTTGATAACAATTATTAGTTGTTATTTTTTTTATTTATATTCGAAAAAATTAAATTATGAAGAATGTAATTTTACATATAATTTTAAAAGAGATAATTGAAAAAATTCAAAATTTGAATGAAATCAGTGAAAAACTTTTTTAAAAAAAGCAATATTTATAAATACCCCAGTTTTGAGAACTACTTGACCAATTTAGTTCAAATTTCGTCGAAATTTCGTTCAATTTATAATTACATAGTCTTAAGCGACTTAAAAAATTTATATGCTTTAATTTATTAGTAATGTATGTAATATAATGTAATAAATAATTGTCAGTGTAGATTTATTTTGTGAATAACGTGCAATTGCGCGCAAAAATTTTAAAAGATCAGAAAACATAAAATTAACAATAGGTCGAAATACAGACTATGCTATTGCACTGTTAGAAATTTCACTGAAAAAAGGATTAAATAGCAATTAATTTATTTGTTATTTTACCATATTCAAACAAAACAGTCAAATAGCCGTAAATAAGATGGCATTCAAACTGTTAACTGTGAGAAAACAGTTTATTAACTGCTTTCACCTAATATGGTTAAGCAACTAGAATTTTATCGCCCCAATTAAACCCACGTAATGAAGTCATTTAGTTCTCTGCTGATGAGTACATATTATAGCAGAGAGGGATAATTTATCAATTTCATGACCGAGAGAAGGGGTATGAGTCCCAGCCTTGACTCCTCAATATTTTCTCCAAGCCCTTCAACATATGAAGAGCTGCCAGTGTCTTACTCTCCCCAATTTGTGACCCTGAGCTGTTAGAATACGATGTTCTCCTTAACTCGTAGATGGCGGCACTATAAGGCTGCTAAACTATCTCCAATAAAATTTACTTTTTTACGGTTTTGAAACCATGCCAGTTACATATGGTTAAAAAAACGTATAGTTTTGTGTTCATAGTTTCGTTACCATACCTGTTGTAAATGGTTTCAAAACCGTAATAGTAAAATAAATGTTCTTTACCGTAAAACTAAATTGTATGGACAGACTGCTGTCGGTCATTTTACTATAATTTAAGAATGAAAATTCAACAGTGTAGGACTGAAATAAGACTAGTAAATATTAAAGCCAGGGGCGGATCCAGAAATTTTTCCTGGGAGGGGGGTGATAGACTCAGATCCCCCCCACAAATAATTTTTTTTATAAAAATTTTTTTAAAACTATTTCTGGGTTCTTAATGCTAGTTTTCGCATTTATTTTTTTCATAATGAACAATAGAACAATACATAAATAATTAAGTATTCAAAATCCTAAGTGTAATCTTAAAATATGAAATGTAAAGCGAATTTCCTTTTAATCTTTTGGATAATGATTCTTGAAACAGTGAAGAACTTAATTAGATGGAAAAAAATCGATTTTTCCGACCTATTTAGGTGTACATGCCTCCTTAAATAATTTTTAAAATATTTTATTTCTTCTGTAAACTATTAAAAAAATTATTATTTCTATTTTTTCAATTTTAAGGGGGGAGGGGTCATGACCCCTATGACCCCACGCTGGATCCGCCACTGATTAAAGCGGAACAGTATTTAAAAAAAGAGGAACGACATTTCGACGGAAACGAAATTGATGAATTTGATTTAAAAACGTTATTAATTCC